CTTTCTCCTCCTCGTCACCTGGCCTCCCCTCTTCCTGTGCACAGCCTGCTTTGCACTTACTTGTTGCAGGCCCAGCATGGCTCCTCAGTCCAACCTGAATAATATGAACCATTGGTGGCCTACATAGCCTTGCTCCCTCTCTTCCTTCCCGTTCCCTCTCGCTCTCTCCTCAGCTTCTCATTAATACACAAAATAATTGGATAGTAGTTTTTTTGGTGCTCTTAAATGTAGAGTGTGAGATAAGGAGATAGTAAATGAGGAGTTGGTGTAGAAGAATGCCACTGAAGACATGATTACAAAAACAAAGAACCCATCTTTCCTGGGTACTTAAAATTTTTCTTATAAGATTTTCTTTCTTTCTTTCTTTGGATTTTTTTTCCCTCTTCTTCCTCAAGGAAGCAATAACTACTTTAAAATAAAACATTGGTCACATGCCCAAAACTGTCCAAGCTTAATGGTAGTTAACGTCTTTGTATCTCCATGAATGTTGTCAGGAGATTTCACTCTTGTTTTGCCAAAAGATAGAATTGGCACGGTCCTGAATAGGCTTCTTGTCTACTGGTAGAGAACTAATTCTAGTTTTAAAGGAAAGAAAGCACTGTCCTTAGAAGCCCCTTCTAAAACTGTCTAGAAATAGAGAAGGTATTATAAGTAATATCATGTTAAATACTACTATCCTTGAACCCTAAGCTTCCTAATACGTGGTACCATTTATACAGGAGGACCATGAATATAATAAATAATCCAGATTAGATGGGTGCCCAAACCTCAGTGGATTGTCCTATACCATTTTTTCTGGGCTGGAATTCCATGTAGGCTGTAACCTTGTAAGACAAACAGCCCCCAAACTCAAATCAAGTCCAGTGTATCTGTCAAGAGCTTTTCTTGCTAACAGATACTCTGGTGCCTTGACAATGACTGATCTCAGAGAGACCTGTACACATAGCCCTGAGCTCTCCTTCTCCAGAATCTTACTAAGATGCAGGTCTTCATAGGGTCAGACCTAGCTGCTGAGACATGCAGTTCTCCTTTACTGTTAGATGCCATGGCACATGGCAGATGTATCACAGCATTCCTTACACACCTAAGATTCCCAGTGAATAAACAGCACTGTTAGCCTCTAACATGTCTCACACTGTAAGAATCCCAGAGTATTGCAGGCCAATCTCTGCTGAAAGACCATGGCTCCTGATCATTACCCTGCCCCTTCCCTGCAGCTGTTTGTGCTAGGCTCACAGGAATCTGGGCATTGTATCAGTATCATGAAGCTAGCTGTTCTTCACAAATAAACACTCCAGGCCAGAGATAGAAAAAGTGAAGTCTACTAGACAGATCCAGGCCACAGTCTGTTTTTATACTGCCTGTGAGCAAAGATTTTTTTTTTACACATTTTGAAAGGGTTGTAAAAGCAAAACAAAGAAGAACCTGTGACAAAGAGCTATGTTTATCTGGCCTTTTACACACAAAGTTTGCTACTATAAGTCCTCATTTTTCTGACCTGCAGCTGTAGTAACCTAACAGCCGACATGGGCTACTGTGTGAGATTGTGATGAGAATAGAGAGTATTTCTTCTGAGATTCTCTTATAAGAACAAACTCATTCATCTTTCTGTTCAAAAAACCCCTGCTATTCAGCAACACACTAGGTTCTCAGGGGTCTGAGGCATTGATGGTACTGTGAAATGCTCTGCCAACCTCAGGAAGCAGAGGGTACCCAACAAAGGGAGGCAGGTCTGCCCAGAAAATTCCTAAAGAGAATTCATTAGTAGGGTCACCCTGAGCAATACCTGCTCCCACTTATTACAAAAAAATTAAAAGCCTCTCCTCCCATATTCTTCCCAGTATTCCTCTATGCTGCCTACAGTCCTCCAGCCTTCAGCCCCAGCCAGAAGTTGTCAGTCAGTGTCCTTACAGCAAAGTTTCCATATTGTGATCCCCTGGTGTAAAACACTTGGGAACAACAGAACCATCCAGTGACTTTTTTCAATATGTGTACTCAGGTCCCACCCACAGCCCACTGGAATCTCAGGGAGGTGGTGGTAGGAATCCATTTTTAGCAAGCTCCCCAGTAATTCAAACACAGACAACCAGGCAGTGGTCTGTAAATAAACCTTCAAAAACAGCTGCCCAGGCCTTCTCTTGCCTACCATCATTGTAATGTGCCTATCCACATCCCTTTCCTAGGTAATATTTCCTGGCAATTGGTGCTAAAGTTTATAGGAGACTTCTGGAGAGAGTGCCTTAATCAAAAGTCATTATTCCACTGGTAGGTTTTGTGAACATGTGACATACAATAGGAACAGCTGAGGAGCTGGGGACCCCTGAAAGGCTATTTGTAAGGCAGGCCTGGGATCCTTGGGTCATTAGATCCTTGGAGCTTTTAATATTTGCTACTTACGTTTTTTTAGTTCTAGGAGAATTAGTGAAGGCCTTGATTTAAACTATTTCCCAGAAAACTTTTGATAAGAAGGCCCCAGCAACATTAACTTTCACAATGAGCCGCTCTCAAAATTTAAGCTATAATAAATTGCAAAATTGCAGCTCATAAGCAACCAAATGCCTATTCTGACTGAGAATGATCCTGATCTTGGTAGGTATGTATGTCCCTGAAATAGAGACCAACCAAAGATCTGATGAAATCAAGCTATCACATCTATAATTTGGATGCCAAAGGCATTCGTTTCAGTAGAAAAGTTCAACAAGAAAGAAAACAGGAATATGTGCCTCGATTATTTTTATTTTTAATGGCTTAAAATGCCCTGGAGGAGCTTCCCAGAAACTATGAATGCACTCTATAAAACCAACAAAAGTCATTAACGATATACAGGCAATGATCAATTTAGTTATTGGTGTTGTATGTCATATTTTTCCAGGAAAAGTTTGAAAATGTTTCTCCTACAGTCTAAGTTTATTGAAGCATCTCTAATGTGTGTATAGAGACACAGCAATTGAAAGTGTTTGTACAAGACAGAAACCTATTGCTGGTAGCCATTATCTGATTTTAAAAGCCACACAATAACTTCCAAAATGTAAATCAAGGTAGTGTTTAAATAGAACACCTATTCTTCAGATTAGACATTAAATTCTCTAGACTATTCGTTTTATGTTAAATCAGTCTCGATATTAGATAATTGCTTAAATTCCATAGGAGAGCTAATGTACAATTTTAAAAAGGCCTTTATCAAAAAGAAGGTTCTGTGATGTATGTTTCAATTGTTAAAAATTCCGGTTGTAACCTACTGTTACTTATGCTATTATACTAGAAATAATCCATAGAATGTCTCCAGTTAAGTTTCACCTTTAAGAACTGTATTTGGTCTCTGTCCTGACAGTGAAAAACTGATGCATTTGAGTCCCCCTTTTGCTACATGCCTTTCTGACTCCATTCATACATCCCAGTGTTGTCTTGTTAAGGAGGAGCCAAGCAAGGATGCCCAAAGGAAGCAGATTAAGGTTTCAAACTCAGAATTTAAAGTAGACTCTTGGTAACCAAGAGGAAAGCCTGTGCAGACTGTGAGGATGAATACCCTTAAGACTGTCCCACATATACAGCAATTGCATTTTGTGTGGTTTTTCACCAAGTATTTTCCTCCTCCCTTCATGGTAGCTTCAGGGTTGCTTGTTTGTATACGGAGTGACTTTCATACCTTAGGGAAAATTTGCAGGGAACAATTAATTTCTTCTCAGGGGCTATTCTTCCCCAATTGAGGCAAAGTATTTTGTGAGTTTTCATTATGCAAGCAAAGAACAGTGATATCAAAATAGTACATCTGAAGTGAAGAATGATAATAAATCCCTCAAAAGTCTCAGATATATGCCAGTCTTGGCCTAAACACTATTTTATATATGACAGGCACTCCGTTATTAGAAGGGTAGTTAGAGTATAACCATTGTAGTTTCTAATAGTGAACATGTTTAGATGTACCAATTTTTCTAAGAACTGAAGTGGAGAAAATATTTGGTTTCTGAATTAGCTCACATTGCAAGTTAACTCTTCCATCACCTCTCAGTTGGTTTTTCAGGCTGCTAACACATCTTCACTTTGGCCTCAGTCTGTTTTTCTTTGGTATTTTCTTTCTTTTGAAGACATTTTCACCCCCACAGCCTTAACTAAGGTTTTTTGAAAGTCAAATATCTCTTCTTTAGACTCTGTAAATAAAACTATGTTAAAGGTTTAGAAGCTGAGAGCCTAACTAACTCTTCCAACCTCATCTCCTCAAGGTCATACCTCTAAAAATGGCAGATGTGACTGGGGTTGTTTTCACCTTGCAGTTTGAGCTTCCCCTGCGTAGTCTCAGCAGCAGAAATGGACAAAGTGGACTAGAGGTAGAGAACAGGGAAGCAGCCTGAATATTACAGATTGCTGCCCTAGCACTTTAGCACCAAATGTTCCTGAAGTGTCATCTGCTCCCAAAGCGCTCATAAATAAAGTGACAACAAATTGACAGGAAGTCCAGGGGACCTGTGCCTAGCACTCCAGCAGGGAATGGAATATTGACCCAAGATTCCAGAAGGAAAGAGCAGTAGTTTATCCTTTAGTCAGACTCAGAGAGGGTGGGGTTTGCAAAATAAATAAATAAATAAATATTTTTTTATGGAAAGGAGTAAAGATTAGTAGTTAAGGCATAGATATGATTGAAGTACATGTTAATCCTGTAATTCTAAAATGTTTTCTCTTTTAGAGGTATAGACTACAGCCATTATCCTAGAAAGCAGAGACCGACAGTCACCCACAAATTGGGGGAAAATTCTCTGCCCTATCTTTTCCCACCCCAGCCAAGTGATGAACATCTGTAGAATTTAGACTTATAGAACACATGACTAACAAACCTGAATACTGCTGCACTGATATGAGTAGAATGTCCATCATTATTAACCAAGCTTGGAATGCCCTGAGCATCTACCCAGACTTTGGAGGGTCCAAATGCTAGCCCAATCCTCCGTGAGCATGGACAGTTTGACTTCTGGGGTTATGAGGATATACCATTTCTTTCACCACAGGTGATATCCGCAATGACCTATACTTGACCCTGGAGAAGGGAGATTTCGAGAGGGGGGGAAAGAGTGTACAAAAGAATATTGAAGTCACCATGTATGTGCTTTACGCAGATGGCGAAATCTTAAAGGTAAGGCACCTAGTCATTGGAAGTAAAGTGGATCCTGTAAGAATTCTGCTGCTTCTATGGACCAGAGGCACATTCCCTCCAGGCATGATTGAATTTAAATCACCCCATTTTTCTCTGCCTTTTTCTTTCTTCAAAGAAACCCAATACTGTGTCTTGATAATGACTTCCAGTATCATACAGCCTTTACAGAATTCTTCTGAGTGTCTGACTTGAATTGTTTCTGCTCTAAATTAGACCTTTTTTCCCTCTAGTTCTGGCTGACATGTATCTTTGTCTGCTGTTATCAAGCATAGAACTGTTTACTTTATGTAACTATTATTAGGTCCAGTACTGCCTTTTCATTCCTTGAGCTAATGTACAAAGTTCAGAGTCCTGGCGTGTTGCTGTGGGTTAATGCGCCAGGCTGCAAACTCATTTGAATCGCAAAGTTGTTGGTTCAAGCTCACCAGTTGCTCCTTGGAAACCCTATTTAGGGTCGCTATGGGTCGGAATCAACTCGATGGCACTTAACAGCAATGTACAAAGTTAAAGGTGGCATTTGGGCACTTGTTTACTGGCACCAAGTTATGGAATAACATGTTCAGGTCCTGGAAGATCATTTCAAGCCAGTGCAATGCTAGGACCTTGTGTACTCTTCATGTGAACATGAAGATTTAAAGTTCTGTTATTTTTTTTGACGGTATGTCAGTTTTTCCTTCAGTCATGTCATGATGAAGTCTCTGGAAGATATCAAAGCAGCATTTGCAGAGCAAATCAGTATTTTTTTTAATAAACCTTACTCCTTTGTATTGGTCACAACCCTGTGCGGTAAGCAGAACATTAGCATTGCCATTTTACAAAGAAAAAGGTAAAATTACTTAAAATCATGCCCCAAAGCAAGACAGAAGTAGAGGAAAATGTTGAAAGTGGTAGAAGCAATGATTTGTAAGTTATTTTAAAAACCCAACTTAAGGACCAAAGAGTAGCCATTGTTTACATGGAGAATGCTAGAGATAGCATAGCTGTAAGCTAGTGACACTACACCTGTATGGACTAGGAACTGCTCCTAATTGTGTTAACTGTTCTTTAGAGGATGGGCCTAGGCAGTTCTGCATCTTCATGGTGGTAATGGGGAGCTGGGGTCATGCTAAATCCAGTTCACTTTGTTTATATACAAGATTAGTCAATCAAGGGCAACCTTCCCTCTGCCATGGAGCAATGTAAAATACCTAAAATACAAGTACAACATTGGGTTGAAGAAGGTTGGAAAACAGACCCTGTCCATTTTGTAATTTGCTTTTGTGTCCTCTTCCCCCCACCACCACCCCTGCCCCCAATCTGGTAAAATTTCTTATGCAGTTGACTTCTCCCTTGGAGCCCACTGTTGGCTTTGTTAGGATAAAGAGCATACATTAGTGATTCATGACATCACCCAGCTTCCTTCCAGTTTATTGAACAGCATATGTGGTTACTTCTGCTCCAAGGGAAACAAGTATTATGACTGTTAATTCCTTACACCATCTACACAGTTGTTTCCAAAAGCATTAAATTTAAGTTAGATAAATTTTCTCATCTCCTGGATTTGGCCTGGTAGAAAAATGAGACCTGCATACAAGAGAAAGTAGTATCCTGATGACATAGAAACCAAAGGGCTCCTTCCAGGAAGATGACATCTTACTTTTGCTTCTCTCTTCCAGGATTGCATCAGCTTGGGTTCTGGAGAGCCAAATAGGAGTTCCTACCACTCTTTTGTCCTCTACCACAGTAATAGTCCTCGCTGGGGAGAAATTATCAAATTGCCCATCCCCATTGATCGATTCCGGGGCTCCCACCTGCGCTTTGAGTTCAGACACTGTTCCAGTAAGTAAGACTTCCTCTAGGCTCATTCTAGAATATGAGTATAATTTTCCTCTCTCTCCACTCCTCTACTCTCTGGAACAGAATTAACCTTTTATTACTGGAACAAGAAAATAAAGACTTGTGAGTAAATGGGTGCTCAAAGATGAGATGGCATCAAGACTGCTCTGTGGACTGTAAACGTAGTAATCCAAAACTATGGGCTCTGGAATTGGCCCTTTAGGACTGACTCCTGGAGTGGATAAGTGTCATTTTTCTTAGGTTGTTTCCTTTGTACGTATTCAACTGCATCTTAAAGCACCCCTGACTATCAAAACCAGCATTTAGTTTCTATATGGGTCTAGGAAGCCTGTGTACATTGAGGTATAAATCAAAATTTAGTACATTGCTCATCATTCCTACAGTGAGGTTGCTACCTAATTAATGAAAGAAGTAAGGGGCAAAAGATCATTAGTGATGAGCACAAGGGGAATGTCTGTTAAAAAGCTAAGCGGAGGACAAAAGCACCTAACACTTGCCTCTGATTACAGCAAAAGACAAAGGGGAAAAGAAACTCTTCGGTTTTGCATTCTCTCCCCTGATGCGGGATGATGGCACCACTCTATCTGACGATATCCACGAGCTGTATGTTTACAAGGTATGGTTCTCAGTCAGGTGATTAGTAGTGGGAAGGCTAGAGGAGCCAAGGTAGTTGACTGGTGGATGACAACAAGATAACTGTGAGCAGGCTTTTGTCTTTTAAATACCATTTCCTTCCCTCCCATAAATAATACCAGTAGGCCCTTTGTTTTCCACCTCCACTTGAAAATCTGTTACCAGCCCCTATATGCCTTCCTTTGTGGCCTTGAGTAGTACATTCTGTGACCTGCTATTTGAACTCATTTTACTGTCAGATATTACAGCATAGCTTCCAACTGCAAAAGAAAGCTATATGCCCTGCCATGTTCTTTGCGAAAGGCACATGAGCGGTTCAGGGTAGTTTCTGGACAAAAGCAGTCTTGAAGGACATGACACCCAAGTGTGTCAGATTGCTTAGAACTTGATTTTTGCAAGTGGCACAGCTCAGGTAACACTCCCTGCTCTCTATTTTGCCTATAGTGTGATGAGAATAGCACGTTTAACAACCATGCTCTGTACCTGGGTCTGCCCTGCTGCAAAGAAGACTACAATGGCTGCCCTAACATACCTTCCAGCCTCATCTTCCAGCGCAGCACCAAAGAGTCTTTCTCCATTTCCACACAGCTCTCTTCTACCAAGCTCACACAGAATGGTAGGTAATGCTTCCTACAACGTAGTACCCTTCATTGTCATCAGCTGCTGTCTCCATGTTGCTAGTGCCATGTAGAGGAGCACAGAAATGATTGCTTTCTTCATACCATAGTAAGGAGTTACCTGCAAGGTGTTCTATGGTCCCAATAGCTTCAAAGTGCATGTGTCAGAAAGTGTCATACAGACTTCAAAGATGTGTCTTTGGCCTTGATCTCAGCACTAAGGAGGCTATTAGCATACTCATAGCTAGTTCTATTCCTCCAAATCCTACTAGGCCTTGTTAAGAGAGTCGAAGCCTCACTAGCCCTTGGTATAGCCAGGGTCACTGTCTTTTGTGCTTGCTTTCTAGTGGATCTACTTGCTCTGCTGAAATGGAAGGCCTTCCCAGACCGAATTATGGATATCCTAGGGCGACTGCGGCATGTTAGTGGGGAGGAAATTGTTAAGGTATGTCTATCTTCCACAGAGCTCTCATATGCAGCCTGACAAATAATGTAGGTCTTACTTCCCCTGATTCTTCCAGAAATGACACTCAGACTATTTGTCCAAATACAAAGGTAAGTCATAAAGTATTGGTACTAGGGTTCCAACTCATACATTGTTGTTGTTGTTGTTAAGTGCCGTTGAATCAATTTCGACCCATAGCGACCCTGTACAGAGTTTCCAAGGCTGTAAATCTTGATGGGAGTAGAAAGCCTCATCTTTCTCCCGTGAAGCACCTTGTAGTTTCTAACTGCTGACCTTAAGGTTCGCAGCCCGATTCATAAAACCTGTTTAAACATATCTCTGTGATCAGTGAATGGCTACAGGCAAGTTCTCTCAGTAATAACACTTGTCTAAGTCTCATTGTTGTTGTTGTCAGGTGCCATCGAGTTGGTACCGACTCATAGCGACCCTATGCACAACAGAAGGAAACACTGCCAGATCCTCGGCCAGACTCACTACCATTGCCATGCTTGAGTCCATCGATGTTGCCACTTGGTCAATCCATCTCGTTGGGGGTCTCCCTCTTTTTCTCTGACCCTCCGCCTTACCAAACATGATATCCTTCTCCAGAGACTGGATTTGTAACCACTATGCTACCAGAGCAAGAAATAATAGCTTCATGTTTGTTAAAAAGTTTTGTTTAATAAAGGTTTCTATAATTTTGTAACAATACTTTTTGACTTACCCTCATAGATAATAAATGTATAAATAGACTATTGTTTTAAGTTAGCTGTATTTAAGTTATAAAATATTAAGTTACAAAAGTGTCTAGCTTGTCTTATTTTGTTGGTTTTTTTCCCCCAGAAAGCAAAATAATAAGTAAAGGGCAGTGATGAAAGAGTCCTCTCAGAGACAGTCCCAGAGTTTTATACTGTAGTGGTTAGAAATCGGGCTGTGAACCGCAAGGTCAGCAGTTCGTAACTACCAGCTGTTCTGTGGGAGAAAGATGAGTCTTTCTGCTCCCGTAAAGATTTACAGCCTCGGAAACCCTATACAGGGTCCCTGTGAGTCAGAACTGACTCCACGGCATATAACCACCACCACCATCTTCCTTTAGGTCTCCCCTCTCTTCCTTAGATCTCTTTCTCATTCTTCTTACTTTGTAATTCTTTTACCACAAACCCAATCTGTTTACCACTCTTGATTTACTTATAAGAATTCTAAAGGTTGTACCCCCATCCTCACTCATCTGCTACTCCTGGAGTCTTGTGACACTTTCCATCTAATGGTCTTAGCTGGTAAACAGCAGCCCTGTTAGTTTATTTGATGGTGTCTCACATTTCTTCACGCTCTATAATTTAAATGGCTTTTTTTTCTAGATTACTGATTCTTTCTTTAACTAGCTCAAATCTCTTTTTTAAAAATCCTTCCAATTAGTTTTTCATTTCAATTATTGTATTCCTCAATTCCATTATGTTTGTTATATAATATATATGTTTCTTTTTATAATATCTATCTCTTTACTTATAGTCTTGTTTTATTCACATATTGTTTTTGGAATTTCCTTTAGTTCCTTTAGCTTGTTTAATATTGCTGTATTCTGTTCTTCTAATCTGTGTATTATTTGGGTTTCCATAAACTTGGTATTTTTTACTTCATCGAGTGTTTTTGAATAGGCCATCCTTTTCAGTTTCTTTGTGTGCCTGGTGATTTTTTGTTGAAGCCAGGACATTAGACTAAGTGGTAGCTTTCTTAACTCCCTTGATTATACAGCATTTTGAACAATAATTTCTGCAAGAAACTCTAGTAGACATAGTCACCAGACTTTGACCTGATTAAAGTTTTCATTTTCCAATTGCTCCCAAACAGATCCAAAAACACTGACTAATTAACATACCCTCAGAGTGGCATAGGCTTTAGTTCTCTGGGTTACAACTCATTGCCCTGCTCTGTGAGGACTCCTTTGTTGTTGTTGTTGTTGTTAGGTGCCATCAAGTTGGTACCAACCCATAGCGACCCTTTGCACAACAGAGTGAAACGTTGCCCGATCCTGGGCCAAACTTTAGTGGCTCCCAGACTGTTAAGAAAATGCACATTGAATAGACTGTTTTCAGGTAGGAGTACCCCTTGAGCCTTGGTTGCCACTTCATCCCCAGCCCTTTGAGGGATCTGAGTCCTGCTGAATTATAGTTTCAGTATTTTAGGTTGCGTCCAGATCAGTCACTGTCTATTTTCTGAACAGTTTACTTGCAATGAAGTACCCTGGAGAGTCGTGTGTTGGCTGATGGTATGGAAGTGGCTGAAGAATCATTTCAGCTATCTTGTCTATTATACTAGGAAGAGGAAATGTGGGGATACCCCGAACAATCCACCTAGAGAAATTGCTGGTTTTTTTGGAGGTTGAGACTGGGTCCCTTCCCAGCACACAGGAGAGCCATGCATTGACTGGTGGTGTGGGAGCAGTCTTGGAGCTTCTGGTGCTGCCTTCTGCTGTGCCAGGAGGGAGAAGGAAGGTGACAGTGGAAGAAGTGCTTTTCCTACCATATGATTTATCCTTGTCTTTATCTACTTTGAAGTTCCTTGCTGCAGTTCTTTGCCCACCATTTCAGAGTTCTTACAGAACAGAATATGGGATTCAAGTTGCTTTTTTTGGTGTTCTCGTACAGAGGGTCAGATTCGTAGATATGTTCATGAATAATCTTCCCAGAATTCTCAATTTATATTTTGGGAGCTAAATACATTAGTGTATGGACATTTGGCCCTATGTACAGGATCCTGAGACCTGAACTTTCTTTTTATGTTGTTGCAGTTTCTGCAGGACATCTTAGATACACTCTTTGTGATTTTGGATGATAATACAGAGAAATATGGCCTGCTGGTTTTTCAGTCTCTGGTAAGACTTTTCATGGTTCTTAATTATTCCTGTCACATATATATATATATATATTAATCTTAATGAAGAAGTTTATTAGAGTGCATCAGCATAAGGTGTAGCTGTTTACAATGGAAAAGGTACTGAGGAATGTTACCCAAGGAAGCTCAACCAGCTAAGCCACCAGGCAGGCCCCTATAAGCTCAAACTTGAAGAATTCATTGTAATCAGTTCTGGACCTTGGTTTTGCAGTCCTGGATACTCAGCTTCATCGGTCTTCCAGAATTTACTGGTCTCTACTTTAGAAGTAGGATAAGGAAAAGCAAAGTCTCACTTGTGCTACTCTGAGCATCACACTCTGTCCCCTTAATGTATCTGTTTGGAAACCAGAATCTCTCTGTAATGAGAAAGGACCATTATTTGAATGTTTAGTGCGTTTTGCTTGATATATTCAATCCCACAGGAGGTCTGTATATTTGAAGAGGACAAGATACTCAAGTCTACCTGATAGATGGGGGGAAGAGGTGAGAGTTAAAGCGGGCACTTGCATAATCTGCCCTCTAGCTATCCTGATTTCTTGCTTCTCGAGCTGACCAGCCATGTTTCTGAAGGGTGTGGACTTTTATGGTCTGTTTTGAATCACAGCAAAATCTTTTTTCTCTCTTTTTGAAGTTGTTGGGGCACTTGATGTTTGTGGCACCTATAAGAGTATTATTTTGGTTCCCCTGCTTTATATGGCACCACCAGCTTTATTATGAAGGGAGAGTCTCAGAGTAACATAGGCACAGATTTATGAACTCCTGATCCAGTTTGGGGGTTGGAATGGTACAAAGAGAACAGATAAGACAGAAATACAGTTATAAAATGGAAATCTTGCCTTCACTACTGGGGGAACACTGGAGAAAACAATGACAGTTTACCATTCTTTGAAAAAGCAAGAGCTTCTGTTACCTGCAAAGGATAGGTCTGAGGCTTCCAGTGAACCATCTGCCTGCCTTCTATTTCTTGTAGGTATTCATCATCAACCTGCTCCGAGACATCAAGTATTTCCACTTTCGGCCCGTAATGGACACATACATCCAGAAGCATTTTGCTGGTGCGCTAGCATACAAGTAAGTTGCATTTGGCATCATCACGAAGCTTAGTGTTTTAAAAGATATTGTTGTTTGTTGTTAAGTGCCATTGAGTCAGCTCCAACCCATAGTGACCCTGTGTAGGATTTCCAAGGAGCAACTGGTGAGTTTGAACCACTGATCTTGTGATTTAAACCAGCCTTTCGGTACAATCTTTCGGCTTTATCCCACAGCACCACACAAGGACTCCTTAATAGTTATAGAGGCTTTAAAAAGAAAAAGTTCAGCTGCAGTCAATTAGGTGACATTTCAAACCATAGTTTACTATATGTTGTTGTTGTTGTTGTTGTTGTTGTTAAGTGCCGTGGAGTCGATTCCGACTCATAGTGACCTTGCACAGGGTTTCTGAGGCTATAAATCTTTACGGGAGCAGAAAGCCTCATCTTTCTCCCGTGGAACCGCTGGTAGTTTCGAACTGCTGACCTTGCGGTTCATAGCCCGATTCATAACCGCTACACTACCAGAGCGCCTTAGTTTACTATATAGTTGCCATATTTTTTCTTCTAAGATATGGTACAAAGCTACTAAAAGATAAGTCTTACCTTTTTTTGCATGAGATACATGAATAGCTAAATATGTTGTTGTTGTTAAGTGCCATTGAGTCAGTTCTGACTCATAGCAAACCTTTATAGGGTTTACAAGGAGCGGATGGTGGGTTTGAACCACCAGCCTTATGATTAGCAGTCCAATACTTATCCTACAGTGCCACATCAGGACTTCAGCTAAATATGTCGTTAAGTGCCATTGAGTTGGTTCTGACTCATAACACCCCTTTATAGGGTTTCCGAGGAGGCGATGGTGAGTTTGAACTGCCTTCCTTATGGTTCGCTATGAGTCCGAATCTACTCCGTGACACATAACCACTACCACCACCTGTGGTCAGCAGTCCAGGGCTTATCCTACAATGCCACACCAAAATTCCAGTGATGTCATTTATTGGTCTAGTTGTGAGAATTTTCATTTTTTTACATTGTGTTGCAATCCTTACAGAAAGTTCTTGATTCTAACTCATGGTATTTCATCCGTATTTTAAATAAAGAAAATGAGACACATTTGAGACTAAATAGCCCTAAGACACAGAGCAAGAAACCAACAGTTCTCAGAAGTAAATCTTGCTGTGGGATCAGAGCCTAAATTCCAAACCATTGAGCTCTTTTGTCATGATGTCCTTCTGACACAGTAATCTCCTTTCTTCTCAGTTAACTTGGTGGTGGTGGTTGTGTGGTATCAAGTTGATTCCACCTCACAGTGACCTGTCTGAAACTGTAAATATTTATGTGAGCAGAATTTCTCATCTTTCTTCTACAGATTTGAGCTGCTAACCTTGCAGTTGGCAGCCCAACTCATAACCCACTATGCTACCAAGGTTGTTTTTGTTGTTATTGTTATGTGCTATGGAGTCAGTTCCAACTCACTGCGACCTGTTATAAGATTTTCAAGGGAGTAGCTGGTGGATTTGAACTGCTGACCTGGCGATTCAAACCAACATTGCAGTCAAGTGCTTATCCTATAGTGTCACACCAGGACTCCATAATTATAGATAGAGAAATATAAAACAAAACAAAAATATGCATCCAGTCTAAGTCTTTGAGCAAACTTTATTGTTACTGTAATCAAAGAAGAAATGTTTCAGGTGAAGTTGGGGAAGCTGGCTGTAATTGCTTATCAGAAATGTGGCAACTCTCTAGGGACAAGGACTGTTTTCTGGTCTCAAGGATTACATGAGAGTTTCATGACTGTAACAGAACTATCATTCCATTCTAGCTCATCAATATATTATTTCCTATATGGCTAATATAGAAATATAGACATTGCTTTTGGATTAAAATGGGGTTTCTGAAATGGTACTTTATTCTAGGGAACTCATCCGCTGTTTGAAGTGGTACATGGACTGTTCAGCAGAGCTGATTCGACAGGACCACATTCAGGAAGCCATGCGGGTAATGTACTGAACTCACCATACAAAAAGAAACCATTCCTGCAGTTATGTGGTAATACCAAAATCATATATTCAAAGACAAGTGTAGACATCTGAGTAAGCTGGCCTGCTTTCAAGAATGACCACCTTAATTCATGTAGTTCCCCTTTCCTCTCCTTAATTTTATCCCAGAAAACCTGTATTCCTGATAATTTTATCCTAAAGCAGGATGATAAGCACAGAGCTCCTGACCATCCTCTTCTGTTTGGTTTTTACCAGTAGTATCAGCCCTCCCTTCCACTGACATACATCTTGAAACTGCTTCTAAGTTGCATATCAATCAGTGGCAATAATGACTAGATGTAAGATCTTCCAATACTTTCTGCTTCTTCAGTAGTTTCTGACTAGTGTTCTCTAGAACTGTGTTTAATAATAAGGGTTCAGTGGATGTACTACATATTTATATGTTGAGAAGAAGAGAATCTCAAAAGCTTGACCTTGGGGGAAGTCTAAGTTCTTTTGTGGTCAGGTCCTCCATAGTCAGGTCAGCCATGGTTGGAACCACAGACATCACCACTGCTTTGACAGGCTCTATGACAAGGCAGCCCTTTGCATTTCTGAACATTTCCAGTTGACTAGGGACTGTCTTCATTTCAAGTTACCGCCACCTTCTGGTAACATACATGGCTACTGCTTTTGCTGTCTGGACCACCTATGAGAATGTTGATCCCTCTTTTGCTCCACAGTTTTCATATCTCCATAGATAGCCATTTGAAAAATGCTGTTGTATCCTCTGGGAACTCATTTACAAGTCCATACTTTTTCTCTTTCTGTTCCTATCTTCTCATACTTGAGGTACTTTTTCTTTGGTGGTTTTTTAACTGTCTTTTTTCCAGTTAACAATAAAAGAAGAATGGTAGTAGAGTATATCTGCTTTCTGTGTCCTCATTTGATATCACATCATCTGCTATAAGAACTAGGCATATATTTTTTATTTATTTTCCTCATGATGATAGGTATAACAGATATTTCCCCAAACATCATCATATTGACAGGGCAGAATAAAAGCACAGATTGTTCCTATGCCATTTTCTCTATATATTCGGGACGTATCTGAGATTATAAATATCAATGCTGCCCTCTTTCATACAATACATGTTTACTGAGAATTCACCCTCTGTCCTGTATGCTAAGATGCATAAATGAGTAATACCAGCCATCTCCTTGATGAACACATCCACAGTGTCCTAAAAGGAAGCAGACACACAAAATGAGCTGCAGAACAGTGTATTGGGATGGGTGCCCTGTAAGGGCAGGATCTGGTTTCTTTCATTCTTTGAACCCTGTTGTTGTTGTTGTTGTTGTTGTTAAGTGCCGTTGAGTTGATTCCAACCCATAGCGACCCTGTATAGAGTTTCCAAGGAGTAGCTGGTGAGCTTGAACCACCGACCTTGCAGTTCAAATGACTTTGCAGTCCGATGCATTAGCCCACAGTGCCACACCAGGACTCCAAGCCACCTGTAAATTGCCTAGCACAATATTTGAGGGAATGAAAAATGAGCTAAATGCAATAAATTCTATGTTGTCTCATAAAATGATTGGAACAGGCATCACATCACAAAGTAAGTTATTTTCTTCTAAGAATGATTCATTCAATCATTTCTTTATTCAATATTGTTTGATACCTGTCATGAGTAGGTCACTGTATTGTTATTTGTTGCTGTTAAGTGCCAGTGAGTCAGTTCCAATTTATAGTGACCCTGTATAGGGTTTCTGAGATTTGCTGGTGGGTTTGAATCATTGACTTTGCAGTTAGCAGTCTAGTACTTATCTACAGTGCCACTTAAAAACACTGTATTAGCTATTGGAAACTTAACTGGGCCCCAGGTAGAAATAGCTTGGTCTTCCTAGCACTTCCATTAAAAGTGGTAAGAAGAAGACAGTAAACATATAAAATGGATAAAACACAAATTCAGTGAAGAACTTGATAAGAACTATGAAGTTAATAAACAGGGTTATGGGATAGACTAGCTGGTATTGAAGGGGTTATGTCAGATGAAGTGCTTATGGAAGACCTCATCGATAAAATTACCTCTGAGCTGAAATCATTATAAAGAACTGGGGAATAGCTACTCAGGTGGAGAAAACTGCATATTTAGAATTTGGTTGTATCCAGATATTGGGCTTACTAGACAAATAGTTTAAAACAGCTATATTAATTATGCTCAAAGAGCTAAAGGAAATCAGGAAAATGGTGTATGACTAAAATGAGACTATCAAGAAAGAGAAATAATAAAAATGAATCAAATACAAATTATAGAGCTGAAATTTTAATAACAAATAAAAATTTCACTAGAGGGGTTAAATAATAAATTTGAGCAGGCATAAGAAGAGCCAGCAAGTTTGGAGAAAGGAAAATTGAAACTATTCAGTCAAAGAAACAAAAATTTTAAAAAAGGTTGAGTAAAAGTAAATAGAGCTTTAAAGATTGGTGAAAAGCAATCAAGTCAACCAACATATGCATAACGGAATCTCACAAGGGGCTATAATAGGCTGAATTCTGTCTCCCTAAATAGGTGTTTTAATCCTAACTCTTACACATGTAGATGCAATTTCATTTATAATGTTTTCTTTGTTTTTTAATGAGGCAATGTCAGTGTAGGTTGTGTCTTCATGCTAATCACTTTTTCCCCCCTAACTTGAAATTTTTTAATGTAAACATTAAAGAGTAGTTTTGGTTATAACACAATGATTCTGGTGGGATTCATACACTAAGTTAAACTCTCACTGTGCTTGTGTGGCGTTGTTGGGTGCCCTTGAGTCCATTCTGCCTCATAGCAACCCCATATGACAGAGCCCAACTGCCTCATAGGGTTTTCTTGGCTGCAATCTTTTTTGGGGAGTTGGGGAGGCCTTTTGTGTGGGGGGTGGTGGTTAGAAGTGAGGTTATCTAGGGCTAGGAGTAAAGCTTGATCTAGATTTAGGGATACAGTTAGGTTTACTTTTTTTTTTTTTAAGCTTTTACTGTGAATTGAGTGGTAGTTTACATGGTATAACATCAGTTTTGCACTCATCCTATCGTATTTCCTTTCATTGTAATAATTACAGTCCTCTCCATGCATCATCATTCAACAGTATTTGCTTCTATTCCTTCTGTTTTTTGTTGTTGTTATTTTATTTTATTTTTTTTGGTGTACACAAAAACACTCAGGAATATATAATAATTTAAACAACCAAAGGACACATTCTGCAAGCCTGCCTCCTGACCACCAGCACACAGCCTATCTCGTTTCATGAGTCTAGAGCCCTCAGCTGCTCTATCTCTCCATATTATCATCTCTGCCGCCATCTCTGGTGAAGCCTAATCACTTTTTTTTTTTTTTTTTTAATTTAAGGTTTTTATTGTGGATTGAGTGAAAGTTTACAGGGCACATCATCAGTTTCACATTCAACCATTCATATAACTTGTT